CAACACCTGAAGCCCCCTGTTGCCCTCTTAGTACTGGCTCTCCCTGGCCTCTGTTCCCCAGGGTGGGCCTATCATTCCGCTGAGGTAACAGAGCCCTGTGTACAGTGATTGCCATGGCAACTCCAGTGCACGTGGGGGGCTGCCCTCCAGCAACCATCCACTGGTCTCCAGCAGCAGTTGCGCTGCGCAGATCTGCACTCCTGGGCTTCCGCACACACCAGGGTGGTTCACGGTTTTCTGACATTATGAGAGAGAGTGGAGAGGTGAGGCAGGGACCTTGAGGTGGGCCAGGGGTCTGCCAGGACATGGGGCTTCATCTTCCTTCTCTCTATTCAGAGTTGCTTGTGAGTGGAATGCTCAGACCGTAACAGGATCTACTCTCCCTCCCTCCTTGACCCGACGTCTCTTGGGATTTTCTCTCCAAATCAGAAACTGACGTGAGTCTACACTTCTGTTCAAGCCAGTCCAGGCCACCCTGGACTGAGGGTGCTATTGGGGCAGATGGGCAGCTCCTGTGGACACATCAGGTGGGTGGCTGGGGATGGGGAATGGGAACAGGAGCAGAAAGAGAACTTGAAGGAGATAGAAGTGGGGCTTGGTTTCAGCACCACCTGGGTGAGGTCCTATTTCTCTTCTGAGCCTCATTTTCTCCAACTGTGAAAGAGGGTGAATTAATACTTTCTCCAAACACCTCACTGAGTCCTTGTGAAGAGAGACTAATCTACTAGATGTGAGAATACTTAATACATGAGCTGTATTTGTCATCTCCTGCTGTATAACAAGTCACCCCAAACTTAGTGACTTAAGAAAACATTCATTATCTCTTAGTTTCTGTGGGTCAGGAATACAGATCTAGCTTCGATGGGCCATCTGTCTCAGGGTCTCTCACAGCCTGTGATCAAAATATTGGCCAGGGCTTCGGTCTCATCTCAAAGCTCAACTAGAGAAGGACCCTTTCCATGGCCAGGATTAATTCCTCAGATTGTTGAACTGAGGGTCTCAGCTCCTCTCGAGTTGGTGGCAAGAGGCCCTCAATTCCTTGCCACGTGGGCTTCTCCAGAAGGCGGCTCACAACAAAGAAACTGCTTCCATCAGTGCAAGAAGAGCCGAGAAGAGCCAGAGAGAGTGTGAACAAGACAGAAGTCACAATCTTATAACCTCATCTTGGAAGTGGCATCCCATCATTTTCACCATATTCTACTCGTTAGAAGCAAGTCAGTAGGTTCAGCCCATACTCAAAGTGATGGAATTACACAAGTGTGTAAATACTGAGGAATTAAGGGTCACTGGGAGCCATGTTACTGCCCACCTCAGTCCACCCTCTAGCCTCTGGTGATAAATATCCCTTCCACGTGTAAAATACATTCCTCCCCTCCCAAGAGCTCCAAAAGTCTCATCCGATTACAGCATCAGCTTCAATTTTAGAATCTGGCCCTAGAAATCGGGTCCAGGTGTGGATGAGGCTCCTTGCGTGTCATTCTTCTCTATCAGTAGATCTGTGAAACTAAGCTATCTGCCTGAACGCACCCAACGTACAATGGTGTGGCAGATATAGGATAAGAGCTATAGATATTCCTGTTCAAAAATGAGGAAAATTCAGACATGAGGTATTCACTGGTCCATAGCAATTCTGAAATCCAGTCAGGCAAATGTTGGACTTTCCTTGATTTGGTTTCAAGGTTTGGAGATAATTGTCCATGGCTCTCTGCTCTGCCATATGTATGGACTCTTGCTTTTACTTGATACAATATCTTTTTTTATTCTTTCTTTTTTTTTTTTTTTAAGGGAGCACATGTTTGCAGCTGAGTAGTTTTCTCAGACTGTTTTCTGCCAGTAGAATTTGGGAGTTCACTGATCTCTTTTCCTTTTGTACTCTCTCTGTCCCTTTCACTCCATGCTGTCAGTATTTTCACCAATATACTTTTCTCAAAAGCTGTGAAACTTATGGGGATTCTCTCCATTAGCCAAAAGTCACATTCTTTTCCACTGGGGCTTCTGTTGACGGAGAGCATCCTTAAACTTCTGAGAGGCCCTATTCCATTAAGAGGATTTGTGAGGCACATCCTTATCTCTTTAAAGGGCCTTTTGTGGGACTGAATAATACTCTGATCTTTCATCTTTCTAAGGATATAACAATCAGTCACAGCCTTGGCTACATTTTACCAACAGTCCTCTGAAGCTATTTCTTAATTTTAGCATCTTTTGACATCTGGAGAGGATGAGAATTTCCAGAATGACTAAGTCCTGCCTCATTTTTATTTAACAGTCCTTCTTTCAAATTTCTCTCTCTCTTCTCACATTTCACTACAAGCATCAAGAAGAAACCAGGAGGCACCTTCAATACTTTGCTTGGAAATCTTCACTGGATCACCCAGTTCATTAGTCACTTATCCTGCTTTCCACATAACTGCTGATGACGGAGTCACCATGTTTCTGCCACTACATAACAGGGACCAGTCCTCCTCCAGGATCTAAGAACATCTTCCTCACTTCCTTTTGTGCCTGCACTGGCAGCATCCTCTAAGACCAGACTTCTACTAATAGTCTGTTTAAGGCAATTTGGGATTTTTCTATCATGTTGCTCAAAATCCTTCCAGGCTCCACTGACTGCTTGGTTCCAAAGCCACTCCCACATTTTTAGGTGTTTGTTACGGCAGCATCCCACTCTTGGCACCAAAATACGTATTATCTATTGCTGCATTTAAAAAATCACCACGAAGCTTAGTGGCTTAAAATGGTGGCTTAAAGGCCACCATTTAAGTGGCTTAAATGCTTAAAAAAATACAAATTTATTATCTCACACAGTTTCTATGGATCAGAATCCTGGGTGTGGCTTGACTAGGTCCTCTGGCTCAGGGTCTACCGTAGGCTACAATTGATGTGTCAGGTGGGCTGTATTCTCATATCAAGGTTCAACTGGGGAGGAACCATTCAGGTGGTAGGATTCATTCAGTTCTTTTTTTAAATTTTTTATTTATTTATTTATTTATTGGCTGCATTGGATCTTCGTTGCTGTGTGCAGGCTTTCTCTAGTTGCAGAGAGCAGGGGTTACTCTTTGTTACAGTGTGCAGGCTTCTCATTGCGGTGGCTTCTCTTGTTGCGGAGCACGGGCTCTAGGTGCCTGGGCTTCAGTAGTTGTGGCTCGCGGGCTGTAGAGTTCAGGCTCAGTCATTGTGGCGCAGGGGCTTAGTTGCTCCATGGGATGTGGGATCTTCCCGGACCAGGGCTCGAACCCGTGTCCCCTGCATTGGCAGGCAGATTCTTAACCGCTGCGTCACCAGGGAAGTCCCTCATTCAGTTCTTTGAGGACTATTGGAATAAGGGTCTCTGTTCCTTACTAGCTTTGGCCAAAGGCCACCCTCAGTTCTTTCCACATGAGTCTCTTTGTAGGGCAGCTCAAAACATGGTACTGCTTCCATCAGAGCGAACAAGGCAAGGAGACCAGAGGAAGAGTGTGAACAAGACAGAAGTCACTAACCTAATCCTGGATGTGACATCCTCTCACTTTTGTCATATTCTTTTGATCAGAAGCAAGTCACTAGGTCCGGCCCACACTCAATTGTTAGGCGGGGAACATAGTGTATGAATACCAGGAGGATAAGGATCGTGAAAAGTCATATCAGAAGCGGCACAATCACCAAACAAGTCAGAATTAATAGGGTGTTTTGCCTGGTGATTTTTCAAAATTCATCTGATTCTTAACCTGCTCTGAGTTTACCAGCAGACCAACTTGCTGGGTGACCTCAGACAAGTCACTCCTTCTCCCTGGGACCTCAGTTTCTTTACCTGTAAAATGAAGGGACTGGGGCTTCCCTGGTGGCGCAGTGGTTAAGAATCCTCCTGCCAATGCAGGGGACACGGGTTCGAGCCCTGGTCCAGGAAGATCACACATGCTGCGGAGCAAATAAGCCCATGCGCCACAACTACTGAGACCCCGCGCCACAACTACTGAGACCCCCCACCACAACTACTGAAGCCCGTGTGCCTAGAGCCCTTGCTCTGCGACAAGAGAAGCCACTGCAATGAGAAGCCCACACACTGCAACGAAGAGTAGCCCCCGCTCGCTGCAACTAGAGAAAGCCCTTGCGCAGCAACAAAGACCCAACGCAGCCAAAAATAAAATAGATAAATAAATTTATAAAAATAAATAAATAAAACGAAGGGACTGGATTAGCTAATCTCAAAGATCCCTTCCAGCTCTGACTTGCTGCTTCTATGCTTTCCTTATCCAATTATACAATAAATTGTCTTATCCTAGTTGAATTACAAAATTCACAGAAGCCTTTAAAAAAACACATGCAATGAAATAAGAGAATATGAATAAGAAAAAGATGACCTGGGAAGAAGGGACCCAAACTTGAGAGCTCCAGAGGCTTCTGAAGATGCTGACACTCTAATTTGACCCAAAGGCCTGTTCTTTGGAGGAAAGGCTGAGATCATCCCAGAGTCCGTTCCTGCTCTTGGCTCTCCTCCACCTTGGCCAAGCTGGTTCCTTTCCTTGAATGACCAGCTGGTAAAAGAACGGACAAAATCCTATTTGCAGAGAGGCAAACAGTCACCAGGATGGTGGGCTTGGGGCAATGCCCCTCCCAGCAAGGGGTCTGCTGGGGGCTCCTAGGGGAGTGTTGGGTGGTACAGATGGGGAAGAAAATATTATAGAAGAAAAAGATTGCAAAGGAAGAAGGGGAGTCCCAGGCCCCCAGTCTGTTTGAGAAGGGCCTTTGAGGCACATGTGATGGGGGTGACCAGGGCTTTCCACAGACAGCACAGCCTGCAAGGGTCGAGGAAGCAGGCCCAGTGCCAGGGGTGGTGGATGGATGGGGTGGGGGCTCCTGGGTGCCTGAGAGCCCTGGAAGCAGCACGGAGGGACCTCTGGTCAGGGGCTGGGCAGACGGTCACAGGCCGTCCTGTTCAGCCCTCTCTGTCATCTGAGATGACCGTGTGTATTTCTTTGTCTGCAGAACTAAGCTTGGAATTACCTGTCACAGAGCAAGAGCTGATGGAGCTGGACCACCAAGCAGGTAGGACGGGGGACCAGGGACATGCTGAATGCACATGCAGGACTTCCGGAGGGACCCCCTGGGGGCAGCAGCGACTAGCCCCCTCCCTCTCTCCCTCAGTCTTGCTTTGGCCTCCAGACCCACTATGTGGCCCTAACTTCCTCAGGGCTTCTGTTCGAAGACAGAAGGAAAAGGGAGGGCACGGAGTATTGCTGAGCCTCTCCCATCTGCCAGGCCTGGGGATTATGACCCCACCGCAGTGTCCCCTCTTGTAACCGAACACAAGTTCATGTGCCCGAGGCACAGTGAGGCCATACAAACCAAAACATCGGAGTTTGGAGCAGAGAAAGTTTTATTGCAGGGCCAGGCAAGGAGAATGGGTGGCTCATGTTCAAAACCCCCAAATTCATTGATGGTTTTCAGGGAGTTTTTATAGGCAAAATTTAGGGTGAGGGCTGCAGGGTGTGTGGCTTCCTTCTGATTGGTTGGTGGTGAGGTAGCAGGGCGGTGCTCCAGGAGTCTTGTGCTTGGCCTGAAGTTACCATCCTCCACCTGCGTGGGCACCTTAGTTCCTGAAGAAGAACTGGAAGATATTGTTATGTACATCCCTTGAGGAGGAACCAGGACCCTGCTTTAATCACTGCACTATTGCTCTTTTCTTCTTTTTGGCCGCACCACGTGGCTTGTGAGATCTTATTTCCTGGACCAGGGATTGAACCCGTGCAAGGGTGCGGAGTCCTAACCACTGGACCACCAGGGAATTCCCTGCACTACTGTTTCTTGATGGTTCCTCCTTTGTTTCCGCATTCCTTCCTCTCCCTGAGTAGCAGCTGTTTGAATCTGCCCTTAGGAACACAGGGAAGGTCTAGGGAGGCTGAAGCCTTTAACTTGCAAATAAGAAATGGGGAACCCGGAAAGGCTTTTGTGCCCGGGAGGGCCCTACAGGGTCCTGCTTGGCTTCACTCTCAAGGCTCAGGGGCAAAGCAGCAACCCTTTGTGCACCAGAAAGGCAGGATATGGGAGAACACAGCAGGGGCCTGGTCTCTCTGAGTGGAAGGTCCATGTAGGTCCTGAGTGAGCCAAAAGCAGGGAGTGGTGTGGCCCAAGGAGGGGAGAAAAGCGTGTCCCAGGCCTGGGGAATAGTGCGGGCAAAGGTCTGGAAGTTAGAGTGGGCTGGTGACTTGATGAAGCTGAATGAAATTCAATATGGCTTGAAGGCTGGAGAAGGGAGGTGGGCAAGGAGGCTGGGCTGGGGTCCTGGGACCAATCCCAAGGGCAGGGCCTCTGCCCTGAGGATGAGGGGAAGAGTTTCCATGTAGGAATGACTGGGTCAGGTCAGCTCTGAGAAAGGTCCCCACAGGTGAGGGGCTGGTGGCTGGGGCTGGCGGGTGGGATGTGGAGAGAGGCGCATCCAGGGACGCTGGGGCAAGGCTCCTGCTGGAAGCTCTCTCCAAAGACCTGAATGACCTGGGGCCTAGTTAAACACTCACAGCCCAGCCTCTCCCAAGAAGATTCTGATGCAGCAGCTCTACGAGGGGCCCAGGAATCTGTATTTCTAAAGAGTGCCTGAAGGGGATTCTGATAAATGACGCAGCTTGGAGAACTCTGATGATTGGTCGCTTGATCCTCACAACAGCAAGTAAAGTAGGATGAACTCTGCCCATTGTACAGGGGGAGGGAGTGGAGGAAGCGTGGGATTGCACTGAGATTCTTGGAGTGCCAGCTACAGACATTCATTCATTCATTCCACAAACATTTAAGCCCAAGAGGACGGGGGTTGACCCAGTTAGCTCACTGTTGGGGCCCCAGTGCCTAGCACAGCACTGACACACAGTAGGTGCTCGCCTGATGGCTGAATTGGTGAAGGTATTGGCTCTCTGAGCCAGGGGACACGAGACACGGTCCCGGCCATTAGAGCGCTCATAAGCCCAAAGGGCAGGTGGAGGGTGAGCAGACAATTTACATACACTGTGTTTAGAGGAGGGCAGGAGCACAGCCTGGGAGAAATGGGAGCACGGATCCTGGAGTCCTGAGCCCTGAGACCTATGGGCTCAGGAGCCCAGCCTTGCGCTGGGCTTCAGTCTCCCCACGAGCACAGCGAGGGGCCGTGGTTGATCAGGCTGGAGCTGAGTGCTCTTAATGCTCTCTGCCTCCATTCTTTTGAGAAGGGTCACTGTCCCCATCCTGGAAGCCTTAGTTGTCCCCAGAAGCGCCCCTTTGCTCGGCTATCTGCTTGTTGGGGCAGAACCCAGGACGGGAGGGAGGGTAGGCAGTCTGGTCTCTGGGGAACAGGTTTTTCCTGTTTGTGTCGATGACAAAAGGTCAAGAAGAGGATCCTCCGACTTCAGCTCCGTGGGGTGAGGATGGTGGGGAGGAGAAGGGCGAGGAGGAAGCGGGCAGGCCTGGACCTCAGCTTTCTCTGTCTCTACTGCCCTGGGGAAGGGTCTGCAGCCCCCACGGGTGGGCAAGGGGGGCTTGAAATAAAAACCTCTGTGGCCGGCAAAACCTGCCATTTCCAGCAGCTTTCTCTGAAAAAGAAACCTGGACATCCACCGGCAGGGCAGCCGCTAAAGCCTGCACGGTTTGAAAGGAAAGTTAGGTGTGTGTTTGTGGCCAAGAAGAGATCCCCAAGGCACAGTGTTAAATTTTTAAACAGCAAGTTACAAAGCAATACATGGAATCTGATCGCATTTATAAACCAAAGTGAAGCCAAACTATGCATCTTTCAAAAGCGTTAGGACAGACCTAGAACGTCTGGGAGGGAAGCTCTTCAACGAAGCTTACAGCTATAACCTGGGATTGAGGATTGTGGGCATAGCTGGAAGTGGGGAGAGGGTGGGGACTGACTCGTTTTCTATATTTTGCCCAGTAAGAAAGAGTTTACATATTACTTGGGTATTATAATGTGTAAAACATTATTCAAAACGTGTATTTTAAGTCTCCATCCAGTGGGTTGTAAGATGCACTGTTACTTACCTGTCACTAAGAAAGAAAACATCGCTGGTTAGACCAGGGCCCATTGATTGTCAGACACAGCCTGATGTCAGCAATGCTAACATGAGAGGGAAGGACATTTTAGAACTGATGGGGTGCAGGGTGACCCTGGGTCTGACACCCCGCGCAGCCATCTATTCACTCACTCGCTCACTGATGGGTGTCACCAACATCTCTGGTACACAGGGCTCTGGGGGGTGCTGAGGGAGGCTCAGGACTGACTCACCTGTGGACCTGCCTCAGTGACTCCCCTCCCGCATGGAGGAGAGAAATGGGAGGGTTTGTAGCTCACAAGGATGGAGAAGGGGAAAATCCAGACAGACCTGTAGAGCGTGCTGGGGACAGAGTTGTGGCGCTGAGAGGAGGTGATGGCCCTGGCAGCTTGGGGTGGGTGTCAGGGAGGACTTCCTGGTGGGGCTGCATTGGAAGGAAGCAGTAGGATTTTTTTTTTTTTGCGGTACGCGGGCCTCTCACTGCTGTGGCCTCTCCCGTTGCGGAGCACAGGCTCCGGGCGCGCAGGCTCAGCGGCCATGGCTCATAGGACCAGCCGCTCCGCGGCATGTGGGATCTTCCCGGACCGGGGCACGAACCCGTGTCCCCTGCATCGGCAGGCGGACTCTCAACCACTGCGCCACCAGGGAAGCCCAAGCAGTAGGATTTTGACTTAGGGAAAATGAGGGGCTGGCCTTCCAGGCAGCGAACTAGCCTGAGCAGACGCTGGGAGGTTGGACATCACAGGGTGTGGTGGGGAAGAAGTGGTGGTCTGTTTGGCTGGAGCCAGGGATGGGGGCAGCGAATGAGGAGAAGACCTGTAAGCTGGGAACGGGAGATACTCGGAACTGGGAGTCAGGGCAGGAGTGGGGTGGGGGGAGGGGAGGGGAGCTGTTGAGGTGGGAGAGCCCGGAAGCAGCTGCGACGACACCGCTCCATTAGCTGGAGAACAGAGGAGGGAAGTGGGGCTGGGGAGCAGCTCTAAATGGGGAGCAAAGGCTGCTCTAGTACTTTTCCAGCCGTGTGACTTGATCAAGCTGAGGGATGCCCTCTGCCAGCTTCCACAGCTGCTGGTTTTCCTGACTGGATTGCTGGAGGGGTTCAAGGTGGGGAAGGGAACTACTCAAATGGAGCCAGGTTCACTAAAGCACAGAGAGGTCACAGCCCTTGCTGAAGGTCACACAGCTAGCCTCAAGGCTGGTCAGGCTTGGGCTGCAGTCCCTATTGTCAGAAACAATGAGGGCTGCCCTGTCCAGCGGGAGGCTTTGCAGGCTGAACTACCCTCTCCCTTGGTCTCTCTCCTGATTTCTCACCCATGCTTCTGGCTCCCATGACTTCTTTCCATCCCTGTCTTTTTTCCTGCTCTGGATCTCTGCGGCTCCGTGTCTGTCTGTTCCCCCCACCCCCACCCCCATCACCGTCTTCCTTCCTGCCCTCCACTCTCTACATCTGTCTGTCTCCTCTCCTTCCTTCCCTCTCTCTTCCCTTTTTAGGTACAACCACTTTGACCAGGGCCCATCTGAACAACAGCAAGGAAGGCCAGCAGGACACGGACCCCTGGAGAACTGCCCGTAGCCCACTGGATACCTCCAAGTGCAAGTACCAGCTCCCAGTCTCCCCACAGCCATCCATGTACCAAGGACACAGCCCCCGAGGCAGCTCCCTCGGGCAGGCCTCCCTGGAGGAGATCCGGCCTCCACCCCTGAAGGCTGTCAGCCAGGACTCTCCCCAGAGGGACTCACAGCCGGGGTCCCTGAAGAAGGAGAGCTACAGACCCTCCTTGAGGGAGAGGAGGGCCTCCTTCCGAGAGGGGGCTCAGCCGTGCCAGGGGCTGGAGGAAGACCCCAACTTGGGGGCACAGGGCCAGAGTAGCAGCAGTATTCCCAACAACATTCGTCACAAGTTTGGGAGCAACGTGGTGGACCAGCTGATCTCCGAAGAGCAGGTGTCAGAATGGGCACAGGAGGCTAAGGGCGGCAGGAGGGTCATGCATGGAGACTGACAATGAGGACCCCTAAGGAAGCTGCTCTTGAGTACAGAGTCCCTGTAATAATATCATCAGAAAGTAGTGTTTACTGAGCACTTGCTCTGTGCCAGATCCTGTGCACTGTTTAGTCTTCGCATCTAACCGTTCAATCTTCCCAGTGAGGGAGGTGCTATAATTATCCTCATTTTATGGATTAGAAGCCCAAGGCTTAACAGGCTTAAGTAAATTAACCAAACTTAAACAGGATCCAAACTGGCTAGCAGATTCTGGAGCCTTGGCCCATAATGACTTTGCAGTTAGAAGTCTTGTGTTTGAAATAGATGCTTTTAGCTCAAGTCTCCTAAAGGGGACAGGATTGATTGGAAATCAGAAGACTTGGGTTTGAATCCTGGCTCTGCCCCAGAATACTGAAAGACTTTGGATAAGTTACTTCTCCTCTCTGAGCTCTAGTCTCTACATCTGTAAAGTGAGGCAGTTAGACTAGATCAGGCTGGCAAATACACAGCATGCATTCCATGACTCTCCTAGCCCTCATTCATGGCAGACATCACTAATCGATTCTGGCACTTTTTCCTACTTGGTACATCATTCTAGGAACTCAATGCGGATCCACTGAAAGTTGAGATGAAACTTATCTGCCATTTCTGGTCAAATGGTCACCTGCTCTGGCATTTTGAGTCGTATTTTCAAAGCCACCGTCTCAACCCTCATGGCGACTATTGAGCAGCAGGCCAGGCAGGAGTCATTGCTTCCGTTTTTAACAGATGGTAAATCTGAGGCTCAGAGAGGTGATACGATCTGCCCAGGGTCACACAGAGCAAGCAGGAGAGCCAGGGTCACAAAGGCTATGGGCGGAGCCCCTTTTCATTTTGTCATCTTAAGGTGGGGGTACCGCCCCACACCCCACAACCTGCTAGTCTGGGAGGTCACAATCCTAAATTCCCTGTCCCACTTGGAGGATCTTGTCCCAACTTGAGGTTGGCTGTATGGTCACGATCTCTCACTGCACCTCCTGGCTTTGGGAAGGTGCCATTTCTCTCTTTGGCCATCGTGGTCCTGGGCTTAAATCAAGAGATCTGTTTTGTTTTTTTTTAATCCAGCTGTGACCCAGATCACAAGTGTCATCAGGCCAGCAAATATCAGAACTGGAAGCTACTTCAAAGGCCACCCAGTTCTGCCCCCACCCTCATTTTATGAGGAGGGGAACTGAGGCCCAGAGGGGAGCAAAGACTTGCCCAAATCAGCAGCTGGTATATAGCAGAGTTGGGACCCAAACCCAGGTTTAATGACTCTTAGGCCTGAGCTCAACCACTCCGGGCCTTAGCTTCCCCATTGGTACAAGGAAGGAGCTGCCTCTGGTGAAATATAAGGAGACACCTAGAGTTGACTTGTGTGATGCTTCCTTTGTAGCAGGCAAGCCAGGGCTTCGTTCACCAGCTATGTGATGGGCAAGTCCCTGCCCTGAGGCACAGTTTTCCTTATTTATAAAGTGTAGGAATAATATCATCTTATAAAGATGTCCCCTGGTGATGTTCTATAGTAGGTACCCAATGTAGGGAGAAGCTTTCATGATCATTCTCATCCTTGATGCCCGAGGCCCATGTGGGAGGTGGGGTGGTGTGGGAGTGTGGAGGGACTTCAGCTATGCCAGCTCCCAGGCCTGGGAGTAGGTTGAAGGCTGCAGGCTAAGGGTGGGGTGAGGGTGGTGGAGGCAGGGTCAGAGGCAGGAGAAGTTAGAGGGGAGATAGGGGACTTGACGCTGCTTCTCTACCCCCTGTCTCTCCTCCCTCCCTCCCTCCCTCCCTACTCAGGCTCAAAGGGCCATTGGTGAAGCCTTGGAGGGCCAGAAAAGGGCAAGCTCACGGCCCAGCAGGATCCAGAGTCCCACTGAAATCACCTCCGTCTTTTCAGGCTACTATGATCTGGGCTACAACATGCGGTCAAACTTGTTTCAAGGTCAGGCTGAAGGGCAAGGGTGGGGGCTGTGAACACCCATAGTCCCCAAGGCACTGGGCAAGGGAGGACTTGGACCCCCAAAGGAATCTAAGACCCCAGGATACATCTCCAGGGACACTCATTTCACGGCCACCACGGGCCTCCTCTGTGCCAGGCTCTATGCCGAGTGCTGGGAATGCCCAGTCCCCTGGCGAGTCTGTCCTCACTGTACAGATGGTCCCTCCCAGTCGGCAGTCAGCCCTTACTCTCCCTGTACCTCTGGTGTCTTAATCTGCCAAGAGGAGGCCGGGGCACCCCTGGTCTGGCCACCTTTGGTTACAGGGACAGTACCAGGCTTCCTGTGTTCAAAGGTCAGCTCAGCCGATGGGTGTGGCCTCGGGCAGGATCCTTAACCTCTGAGCCTCAGCCAATCTTCTTGGTACAATGGGGCTAATAACATGGCAGGATTCTATGGAGGAGCTTGGCCTGCAGCCCCCAGTGAGTCCTCTTTTTTTTTCATTTTTTGGCTGAGCCTTGAGGCTTGGAATCAAACCTGTGGCCCCGGCAATGGGATTCCACTGGGTCGCCAGGGAATCCCCACAGTGAGTGATTACTAGCTGACAGGCCAGCACTTTTCTTTCTCGGATCCCACTGGCGGCACCTCTGGGCCAAAGTGTGGGTCGGAGGCCCGGACATCTGCAATGTGTCCTCTGGGTCCCCCTCGGTCCTGTTTGTCAGGGGAGTGCTCCTAGCTCCCTATCACAGGCAGATGGGAAACAATTTGCCCGGAGTAGTAGGAGGTGGATGTGAAACTCAAATCCAGGTTTTTCTTCTGCCTCCTAAGTCCCAGAGTCTATTTCCGGCACTGGGTCACCTCCGGAGCTAGGACCCCGTTCCCAAGCGTTTAATCGACTGCTCGGATGCCGGTCCTTGGTCAGCAAGCGGTGGCTTCTCTCCAGCCCCACGTTCTAGTTTGACCTCATTGCAAAAGGTCAAGTCTTTCTGGCCCCCTTCTTTCCTCCATCCTTACTCCATGTCTTCTCCAGTGTCCCCAGGGCCTGGTAAACCTCCTACCTGGCTCAGATCCCCATCACCCGAGGAACCAGACAGCCACTGGAAGCCTTTCTGGGTTTTTCTTTGAGCTTGAAGAAGGGGTGGTGCTTGGGGAGAGGAGAGAGAATACAGCTCAGATTGTCCTGTTCTGGGCCTCAGGAATCGGCCTTCCACTTGTCCTTAACAATGATCACTCAGTAGTTCTTACGTAGGCCTTTATATGGTGATGTTTACATACATTTAAAAGAATGATATAAAAAGCGTCTGTGTACCCCTCACCCAGCCTGAGAAACACAACTGTGTCAAGGGGGCAAACCCTTGGAACCAGTGCAAACCAGCTTGCTCCAGCTTCTAAGAGTCGATTGTTAAATTTTACTGAACTGTTGGCCTCATGAGCGATCTTAAAATTAGCCGTGGTCGTGCAATTGACCTTTGAACAACGGGGGAGTCAGGGGTGCCAACTATCCCCGCCTATACCACCCCACAGTCAAAAATCCAAGTACTGCTATCTCTGACCCAAAAACAAAAGAACTGATAAATGACTCACCCAAGGCCAGGAAGCTGAGATAGTTTGGATAGAATCAGGACTCAAACCCTAGTTCTTTTGATCCCATGTATTGGGACTTCCTACCAAACACAAACTTTCCCCATGCCTAGTTAATTTTTAAAGATCTATAAAAGGAACATACAGGTACTATATTTATCGAAAAAAAAGACACACATAGGTGGACCCGAGCAGTTCAAACCCATGTTGTTCAAGGGTTAACTGCATTGACGCTCCACAAATTGGCAAGTGCTACAAATTAGGGCGTTGCTCTCTGCAGCCAACTGTCAGTGTGCCTCACCCATGTGTCCCCCTCCGTTTCCACCCACCCAGATCTTGGCATTTGCTGCTCCAGGTTGGGGAGGTACAGCAGTGGCTAGACAAGGGAGAAGAAATCAGAGAGGAAATGGGCTAGGTGGGGAAGGCCACGGGAAGGTCTTAAGCAGAGAAGGGCATTGTTTGACTTAGGTTAAAGGATCACTACTGTTGCTATGCTGAGAAGAAAAGTAAGGGAGCTGGGCAGAAACAGGGAAGCCAGTGAGGAGGTGACTGCAAAAATCCAGGTGGGGTTAATGATGGAGGCTTGGTCTCGAGAGCAGGGCTGGTGCATTGCACGACTCTAGTGGATACTATTGTGCAGTATGGCGGCACAGGGAGATAATGGTGAAGGTGACCTGATGCGGGAGGAGTCTGGCTATGTGTGTAAGGCAGAGCAAACAGAATGTGCTAATCAATGGATTTGGGGTGTGTGAGAGAGGAATCAAGGTTGATGTCAAGGTTTTTCTTTTGTTTTTCATAAATTAAATTATTTATTTTTTTGGCTGCGTTGGGTCTTCGTTGCTGCGCACAGGCTTTCTCTAGTTGCGGCGAGCGGGGGCTACTCTTCGTTGTGGTGCGTGGGCTTCTCGTTGTGGAGCATAAGCTCTAGGCACGCGGGCTTCAGTAGTTGCCGCACGTGGGCTCAGTAGTTGTGGCTCGTGGGCTCTAGAGCACAGGCTCAGTAGTTTTGGTGCACAGGCTTAGTTGCTCCGTGGCATGTGGGATCTTCCCGGACCAGGGCTCGAACCCGTGTCCCCTGCATTGGTGGGCGAATTCTTAACCACTGTGCCACCAGGGAAGCCCAGATGTCAAGGTTTTTGACCTGAACAACTGAAAAGATGGAATTGTTATTTACTGAGATAGAGAAGGTTCCAGGAGGAGTGGGTTGAAGAAATCCTATGCCATGCTGAGTCATAAAGATAATCTTTTACATCGTCTTCTAAAATATTTAGTTTTGCTTTTCACATTTAAGTCTTTAATCCATCTGGAGTTGATTTCTCTTTTCAGTGTGAAGCAGAGATTCATTGTTAATTCCTCCTTTATGTGGATTAGCAATTGTCTCAGTACCTTCTATTGAATAATCTCATCTTTCCCCCCACCCCAGTGACCTGCAGTGGTACCGCTGGTATCCATCAAGTTTCCCTGTGTGCATGGATCAGTTTCCAGGCTCTCTATTCTGCCCACTGGTTTAATATTACACTTTTAATTACCAAGGTATTATAAGTAGTCTGATATCTGGTTGGGCTGTCCCCACTCCATCACCAGCAGCAGGAGCAGCTAATGTCTTAGCTATTCTAGGTTCTTTGCTCTTCCATATAAATTCTAGAATCAGCTTGTCAATTTCCATGAAAAACCCTGTTGGTATTTTGATTGGAAGAACATTGAACCTGCAGCTCAATTTAGGGACAGTTGTCAGCTTTATGATAATGAATTTTCCAATCCATGAGTATGGTCTACAACTCCGTTAATTTCAATCTTCCTTCAATAGCCGTCAATAACATTTTGTCATTTTTTCAATAAAGATTACGCAGCTTTTTGTTAGACCTGTTTTGAAGAATCTCTTATTTATCTATTTTTTTCCTGCTTATTGCAAATAGTATCTTTTTTTTAACATCTTTATTGGGGTATAATTGCTTTACAATGCTGTGTTAGTTTCTGCTTTATAACAAAGTGAATCAGTTATACATATACATATGTTCCCATATCTCTTCCCTCTTGCGTCTCCCTCCCTCCCACCCTCCCTATCCCACCCCTCCAGGTGGTCACAAAGCACCGAGCTGATCTCCCTGTGCTATGCGGCTGCTTCCCACTAGCTATCGATTTTATGTTTGGTAGTGGATATATGTCCATGCCACTCTCTCACTTTGTCGCAGCTTACCCTTCCCCCTAGTAACTTTTTAAAAATCACATTTTCTAACTTTGCTGCTTGTATACATGGAGGCAATTTTAAGTTTTGTTCTTTAATCTTATATCCAGAAGCCTGACTCAGCTCACCTATTACTTCCGATAATTTGTTTGTAGATTCTTTGGAACTATTTTTAAATAATAATAATGGCTACATTTATGGGTCGCATGTAACATTCACCAAGCCCTGCTCTAAGTACTTCATGTACATTTTAATTCTCACAAGAATCTTATACAGTGAATGCTATAGTGCTATAATTCCCCCCCCCCCCTTTTTTTTAAAGAAAGAAAAAATGAGGCATGGAAAGGTTAAGTAACTTGCTTAAGGGCACACAGCTAGGGATAGTCAGGGTTGGGATTGGGATTTGAACTCTGGCAGTCTGGGGCCAGGGTTCACATTATTACCAGGAGGCATTTTTAAAAAAAATAATTTTATTTACTTTGGTGTGTGTTGGGTCTTTGTTGCTGAGCACAGGCTTTCTCTAGTTGCGGCGAGCAGGGACTACTCTTCGTTGCGGTGCACGGGCTTCTCATTGCAGTGGCTTCTCTTGTTGCAGAGCACGGGCTGTAGGCGGGTGGCTTCAGTAGTTGTGGCTTGTGGGCTCTAGAGCCCAAGCTCAGTAGTTGTGGCGCACAGGCTTAGTTACTCCGTGGCATGTGGAATCTTTCCGGACCAGGGATCGAACCCGTGTCCCCTGCATTGGCAGGCGGATTCTTAACCACTGCCCCACCAGGGAAGCCCACCAGGAGGCTTTTCCCCACCTTTTTTTTTTTTTTTCTCTGCGGTACGCGGGCCTCTCACTGTTGTGGCCTCTCCCGTTGCGGAGCACAGGCTCCGGACGTGCAGGCTCAGCGGCCATGGCTCACGGGCCCAGCCGCTCCGCGGCATGTGGGATCTTCCCGGACCGGGGCACGAACCCGTGTCCCCTGCATCGGCAGGTGGACTCTCAACTACTGCGCCACCAGGGAAGCCCTGCTTTTATTTCTTATAGTACTTTTGCTTTACAGTCTATTTTGTCCAATATTAGTATAGTATGACCAGATTGCTTTGATTTGTATTTTTGTGGTATTAATCTTTTTCTGTATTTCCATGTTTATCCTCTTTGTGTCCTTTTGCTTTAAATATGCTTTAACTAATATATATCTGGAAAATATTTTCTGTGGCCTGAGCATCTGTTTTTTAATCAGTTGGCCTACTCCATTTATATTTATTTTAATTACCGATATATTCGGATTTATTTTTATGATCTTATTTTGTATCTTCCATTTGTCCTAATTTTTCTATGCTGCTTTCTTTCTCCTTCCCTTGTTTTGGATTTGAGTGAGCTTCCCTTTTTCCCCAATCCAATTTTTGTCCTTACTTTTCCTATTCTCTCAGTGGTTATCTTTGACTTATTTTTTTATGGCCACGCCGTGTGGCTTGCAGGATCTTAGTTCCCCGACCATGGAAGCGTGGAGTCCTAACCCCTGGACTGCCAGGAAATTCCCTATCTTTGACATTTTTACATGCATAGTTAGCAAATTCTAAAGTTAATCGAGGTATTTCAGCTTTTCTGAACAATATAAGGATGCTGGACAGCTTCACATTTATTCTCTCCATCCCCCATATCAGCTAACATGTTATTATTTTACAGGGTTTTTTTTACTATACATAAGCAAAGTAGTTTAAACTGTGGATTCTGGAGCCACAGGTCCGGGATTGCGTCCTCCATCTTTCACTTACCAGCTGTGTCACTTTAGACAAGTGATTTAGCCTTTCTGTGCTTCAGTGACTTGAACAGCAAGATGGGGGTAATAATCACCCCCATCTTCTTAGGGTTGATTCAGTGAGTAAGTTCTGTAAAGTTTTGAATGAAAACTGTGCTTAGCATATGTTAAATCTTCACTTATCTATCACAGTCATTATTTTGCCCATATATTCAACATTGCTACTGTTATCATAATTGATGTGTATTTAGATCTATTCAAGGTTTCCACTTTCTTTGCCTACTACTCCTTCTTTTATCTCAGATTTTCCTTCTGGGATTATTTTTTTCTTTCTGAAGTATGTTGTTTAGAAGATATTTGGGGTGAGATTCTGTTGTTGGTCGATTTTAAGCTCAGAAAAGCTTTATTTCATCCTGTTCTTGGAAGACAGTTGTTGTAAACAGCTCTAGATTGTTGATTTCTTTTTGTAAAGCACTTTGATGATGTTAATTAATTTCCTTCTGGCTTTGATGGTTAATCAAACTCGTTATCTTTTGTAACTAATCTGTCTTTTCGCTATGGCTACTTCTAAGATTTCTTTGTCTCTGGTGTTCTAAATTTTACTTGGTTGTACCTAGGTAAGGAATTATTTTCACCTACACTCACTGGGGAATTGTTATTCTTGAATCTAAGGATTCATATATTTCATCAATTCTGGAAAAATTCCAGCCACTAGCTTTCCACATATTGCCCCTCCCCGTTTTCTCCACTCTCTCCTTCAGAACTACAATTAGACATATGTTAGGCCTTCTCATTTAATCTTCATTGAACAGCTTTTTCATATTTTCCATATCATTATTTCCCCATTCTGTGCTGCATTCTAGTTAATTTCTTTAGATATATCTACCAGTTCACCATTTTTTCTCAGCTGTATATAATCAGCTCTTTTACCTGTTTGTTGAATTTGTTTTTAAACATTATGATGTCAATTTTCAAACTTAGAATAGTTTAATAAATACATGGTGCACTTATCATACAGCTTCAACAATTATCAATACAAGACTAACCTTGTTTCATCTTTTTTCCCACCCACTCACCCATTCATTCCCACCCCAGTTTATTTATATATTATTTATTTATTTATTTGTATTTTATTTTATTTATTTATTTTTGTCTGCATTGGGTCTTCTTTGCTGCGCGCGGGTTTTCTCTAGTTGCGGCGAGCAGGGGCTACTCTTGGTTACAATGCACAGGCTTCTCATTGCGGTGGCTTCTCTCGTTGCGGAGCACGGGCTCTAGGCACATGGGCTTCAGTAGTTGTGGCACATGGGCTTAGTTGCTCCGCAGCATGTGGGATCTTCCCGGACCAGGGCTCAAACCTGTGTCCCCTGCATTGGCAGGTGGATTCTTAACCACTGCACCACCAGGGAAGCCCCACCCCAGTTTATTTTGAAGCAAATCCCAGGCCTCTTACCATCCATTGCCTTTCAACTATTATGTTTAGTTTCTGAAATTCCATTTGCTTCTTTTACTAATCTGTCTGTTCTTTCTGGGTAGTTTCTTATTCTTTTCTCATACTTTTATTTATATATTTATTTAAAATTAATTTTTATTGGAGTATAGTTGCTTTACGATGTTGTGTTAATTTTTTTTAATTGGAGTATAGTTGCTTTACAATGTTGTGTTAGTTTATTTTATTTTTTTTATTGAAGTATAGTTGCTTACAATGTTGTGTTAATTTTTTTTTAATTAGAGTATAGTTGCTTTACAATGTTGTGTTAGTTTCTTATTCTTTGCTTATACTTTTACTCTCTTTTTCACAACTTCACACATTAAATGATACTTATTTTATATTCTGTAACGGATCATTCAAATCCTTATCTTTTGGAATTTGGTCCTCTGTTTGATGATTTTTCTGACTTTTGATCATGGTAACTTCTTTTCTTGCCTGTGTGTGTTTTAACTTTACACACAGACATAAACATTTTCTGAAAATACAGGTATCAGTTGCCACGTGCCAGCTGCTCCAATGAACGTAATCTTCCCAGTCTTGCGAGAACATTTTATTCCTTTGAATAGATTAAGAGACCAAAGCTCTGAGACGTTAAAATCTTGTCTGAGGCCACACTGTTCATAAATGATGGAGCTGGTATTTGAGCCTAGGCTGGCCTCCCTCTGCCTAACTCTCCCCACACCCCTCCCTTCCACAATCCACCATCCACAGGGGAAACTGACATAGGAACCCTGGAGTACCTGAACTCTGTTGACTTGGGGCTTCTGGGGATTTCTTCATGGGGTTCCACAGGGGCCCCACAGGAGATGAAGAGCCTCATGAAGGCCTCCTACACCCCTGAGGTGATTGAGAAATCAGTGAGGGACTTAGAGCACTGGCATGGCAGGAAGACGGATGATCTGGGTAGGTGGGGCGCTGGGGGCGTGGGAGGTGGGCACTCCCCGGGCGGGTGTGTTGGCCCCAAGGTCCAGAGAGAGACCACAGCAGCAGCTAGAACTCTGGGGTGGGTTCAGAAGACATATGGGTTACCACTGGGGCCTGGACACTCCAGGGGTCCTCTGGGTGATTTGTGCTGGTTCCTTCCCTGCTCTCTGCAGGACGGTGGCACCGGAAAAATGCGGTGAACGTGAACTTGCAGAAAGCACTGGATGAGAAAGAAAAGAGCAAAAGCAAGAACTTGAAGTTCTAGATACAACCCAGAAGAGGCGCCCTCCACTCAGAGAAAGTGCTAATAAAGAGAGACACACATCTGGACCTTCGCCGTTGCTTGGCGCCGCTCTTCAGGTCGGGGGAGGGGGCAATGTGCAGTGCTGGAGAGACCTACTGAGGAAGGACAGACGCTCTAAGGACCCAAACTACCCCCCAGCCCTTCCTCCTGGGGACACACACACACACACACACACACACACAACTTTCCCCCATAATTCCAGGAAAGGATGTGAGAGCTGAGTAGAACTTTGCTCAAGCCCAGGGTGCCTTGCCCTGTGTGGAGGGCTCCTATAGTGGACACTGCTGGATCTTAACCCTGCATGACCTCCCTAGCAGAACCCCAATTATTTCCAGGCATCCATTCCTTCCCCAAGACCCAATGGACTTCAGAAGAACTAGCCACGCCCCCTCCAATCCAGGAGTAGTTTTGATTGGTCTCAGGGAATTCTAACCCTTCCCCCTACACACAAAGTGATTGGTTCAGAAAGGAACATATGACGCAGCTTGGACCAGTAAGATGCAAGGAAAGGTGTGCGCGTATGAAGCGTTCTGGGAAACTCTTTTCTCTACTGGGGAAGCTTGGGAGCCTTCCCTGCTCCTGTTGTAGTGAGTGAAGAACCATGCAGTGCAGACTGCTCCTGGCAGACACCCTGTGACTGGAGGAACTGCAGACACTGCAGCACAATCTAGGTCCCCCATGACCTCACTGAACTGCTCCACCCTCCTGGCCAGAAGCGCCCACCACCCCCCACTCTGGACTTCTTATAATGTGCACCTGGGCATCTTCCTACTGTTTAAGACAAACTCACCTTGAGCCGATAAGGGCCCTTGGTAACAACAGGGGAGGGACCTGGGAATTGGGGCCCCAAGGAAGAATCCCCCAGAGAAGGGGTTCCAGGTTAGACAGTCATGCCTACCATCTGATCCTGAAGCTTATTACCTGGTGGGTCTCCAAGCCACAGCACACTCCACCCCCAGATCACTGACTCGCACTCTCAGAACATGCTCTGCTTGTGGGTTATTTACCATTTGCTGTGTTCCAAACCAGCCGAAAACCTAGTAGCTTAAAATGACCATAATCATTTACCTACTTATGACTGTGCAGTTTGAGCAGGGCTCAGTGGGTATGGCTCAGTTCTGCTCCACGTGGCATCTGCTGTGAAGATGGCTGCTTTTCTCACATGCCTGGTGCCTCAGCTTGGGGCTGGTTGGACATCACTTTCTGTTCGTCGGGTGTCTTCTCTCCTCTGTGGCTAGCTTGGACTTCTTCCTGGCATGCTGACTGCGTTCTGAGAAGGAGCTTCTCAAGGAGACAAGACTCAATGTGTAAGACCTTATCATGTCTTAACACTGGCTTGTTAAGTTCCCTGTGGTCAAAGAGACATATGGTCAAACCAGGCTCATGGTGGGAGGTGGCTGCAAAGAGTATTCCTATTAGCAGGAGTGGCTCACTGGGGACTCACCACACTAACAGTCTACCACAGTGACCATCGTTCTCTGCAAAAATCAAAAGCACATCTCCGCCAGAAAAAAGCGGGACTGCCCCTCCTCCCACAAAAGTGAATGACTTCTTTAAGGTAGGATTGGAGCAGGATGCAGTACAGGGAGATGAATTTGGCTTGATTTAATATTTATGGAGTACCTGACTGTGTAAAGCATTGAGTTCAGCTTCACTTCTTTTTTCAAAAAAATTATTTATATTTATTTATTTTTGGCTGCGTTGGGTTTTCGTAGCTGCGCGCGGGCTTTCTCTAGTTGCTGCCAGCGGGGGAGCTACTCTTTGCTGCGGTGCGTGGGCTTCTCATTGCGGTGGCTTCTCTTCTTGCGGAGCACGGGCTCTAGGTGCGTGGGCTTCAGTAGTTGTGGCACATGGGCTCAGTAGTTGTGGCCCGCAAGCTCTAGAGCACAGGCTCAGTAGTTGTGGCGCACGGGCTTAGTTGCTCCGTGGCATGTGAGATCTTCCCGGATCAGGGATTGAACCTGTGTCCCCTGTGTTGATAGGTGGATTCCTAATCACTGCGCCACCAGGGAAGTCCCTCAGCTCCACTTCTTAATATTGAGTACCTGATTTCTGCAAGACACTGTTCTTGTGCTAGAAAAACCAGACTTAGGGCTTCCCTGGTGGCTCAGTGGTTGAGAATCTGCCTGCTAATGCAGGGGACACGGGTTCCAGCCCTGGTCTGGGAAGATCTCACATGCCGCAGAGCAACTAGGCCCGTGAGCCACAACTACTGAGCCTGTGCATCTGGAGCTTGTGCTCTGCAACAAGAGAGGCCGCGATAGTGAGAGGCCCGCGCACTGCGATGAAGAGTGGCCCCCGCTTGCCACAACTAGAGAAAGCCCTCGCACAGAAACGAAGACCCAACATGGCCAAAAATAAATAATAAATAAATAAATTAAAAAAAAACAGACTTCATCTTTATTTTAAAAATATTTATTTATTTGGTTCCATTGGGTGCTAGTTGCGGCAGGTGGGCTCCTTAGTTGTGGCACACAGCCTCCCTAGTTGTGATATGCAAACTCTTAGTTGCAGCATGCATGTGGGATCTAGTTCCCTGACAATGGATCAAACCTGGATTCCCTGCATTGGGATCGTGGAGTCTTATACACTGCGCCATCAGGGAAGTCCCATCTTTATTGAGTAGCTATTATTTACTCATCATATGTGGCAATTGAAAAAAAAATGAGCCATCTAGAGAATTGTAGCTAAAGCAGACCCCACCCTTTTCTGATGTAGAAATTATAATATGCCAGATGCGTATGATTATGTGCCAAACGCTTTCCACGCACAGCCTTATTTCATCCTTATGCCAGTCCTCACAGCTATTATCATCCTCTTCATGAAGATGAGGAAACTGGGGCTTGGAGAGGCCAAGGAAATTGCCCTGCGTTTTACCAACAGGAAGCTGGGATGGAAAGTCCAGGAATTTCTGACCAAAGTCATTTTCTGATCTACCAGGAAGATCATACTGTCATGTCAACAACAGGTACTGAGTGCCACAAACACTTGGCCCTATTAACCACTGTGGGGGACGGTGGTATGAATTCAATACAGTCCTTGTCCTTAAGGACTTCACGGTCTGCAGAGAACTGATGTGGAAGGAGCTGACCTCGAGGCTCATCCACCCATCTGACGAACATGTACTGTGCATCTACCCTCTGTCCAGCCCTGACCAATGAACCAGGAGTTCAGAGATGGTTAAGACATGGCTCCTGTCCTCAAGGAGTCCAGAGTCTGGTGGGACAACAGATGAGTCATTAGATGCTCAGAAGTTTTACACATGCAGTGAGAAGTTCGTACGTGGCCAGTGGAAGCACAGAGGTGATCCTGAGATGGGAGGGAGGGCTGGGAGTCATAGAAGACCTCATAGAGGAGGAAGCTCTGGAGATGAATCTTGGGACATGAGTAGGTAAGTTCAGGTGGCCTGGAAGAGATACAGCATTCCGGACAGAAGGCGTTGTGTGAGCACAAACCCAGCATGGCAGAGCTGCAAGAGGCTTGTTAAGCTTGGAGGGTAGGGCTCCAAGGTGGGGCACAGAGGTCAGGTGGGAAAGGTTCACAGAAAAAGAAACTATACCTGGATGGGGCTGTGTTTTGGATGTGGGACCCAGCCCTCCCTCCAGGAACTGAGAACTGGATGGAGCACAAAGAGTTAATAATGACAGAAGAAACCACACAGCCGAGTTGAAAAGATGCTCAATATCCCCAATAATCAGACAGATCATTATGCAAATTAAAACAATAAATTCATCGGGTTGACAAACATTGAAATGCAAGTGTAGGTGAGGAGAGAAATGAGAACTCTCATACACTCCATGAATCATGGAGTACAGAACAGCAAGGAAGGAAGAATTTAGCAACGCTGAAATTAAAGTTTACAAGCTAGCACTTCCACTGCTGCGCAGCCTAGAGAAACTCTGAAACACGCACACAAGGAACCTCACACAAAGACAGTCATTTCAGCGTTCTTTGCAACAGCAAAACAATGCACACATCTGTTAGGAGAAGAATGGACAAGGGGGGTAATTTATGAGTGGAAAGGGCCAAACCACATCTACATACACCAGCATGGAAGGATCTCCCAATATATCATAGTGGGTGGAAATGACAGTCTGCAGAATGAGCCCTACGGTATGAAACATGCCATTTAGGTAACCTTCAAAAAGCATACACCCAACCTCTCTATCACTCATCAGAGTATGGAAGGTGGGTTGGAAGGACACTGCAGAAATTCAAGTTCACATTGTATTTAGTTTAGCTCTTTTCAGACACAGCTTTGCTTCCTATAACTGCACGAGAGAGCTGGCAAAACGCCCTCGAAGAGAACTCAGATGCTAGAAAGAGGGACCGAGTAACAGAATACGGGGGAGCTGATTTTAAGTTAAATGAGCAATTTCAATTTGGACAAAATGAACAAATGTGGTACGTTTTATGACTTTGCCTCAGTTAAAGATTTTCCCTCTGGACATTAAGAGAAGCCCTTTTTAATTAAACATTGAATATTTTGGAGAGAGAGAAGCTGTAATCTTGGCAAAATAAATAAAACATGCACAGATTTTAAAACTGAAATAAGACCTTTATTTCACTGGTGCTGTTTCTAGCAGCATTCCTTGTTCTTTGTGTTCCTGAGGTCACTGGATGGTAGAATTCATGGTGATTCTTAAGTTTCAAGGAGGTACAGGGACCAGGTTTTAAGTAGCATTAACACATATAGTGGAAAAGTTGTTCATCCTTCAGTTCATGCAGGGCCTCATTTACTCATAGTGATTCAGATCTGTCTTCGTATTTTATTTTCTTTCTCTTTTTTTTTTTTTTGCTGCTTTGGGTCTTCGTTGCTGCACACGGGCTTTCTCTAGTTGCCGTGAGCGGGGGTTACTCTTCGTTGCAGTGCGCGGGTTTCTCATTGTGGTGGCTTCTCTTGTTGCGGAGCACGGGCTCTAGATACGTGGGCTTCAGTAGTTGTGGCACGTGAGCTCAGT